ATCCCCAGCCCTTTTTTACCTTCTATTTAGAGACAGGGTCTCTCTGAGGTGCTCACTTGCTGAGGCTGGCTTTGAACTCGCAATCTCAGCCTCCCTACTCGCTGGGATTACAGGCGGCACCACCGCCCACCGTTGATCCTTCTCCTTAGGAATAATCTATATTCTCATCCTGAGGCTGTCAGTGGGTGGGGGCCCTGAGTCATGGTGGTTTGCCTTGTTGAAGTAAGACAGCGCCATGAGGTGGGTCCTGTTAGGTTCCTGTCCTTCCACCGAGGAAACAGGTTTATCATGACCCTTGCTCTAGCTGGACCAGGTTCAAATCCCCGCAGGGCTGCTATGGGCAAGTCCCCAGCCCTCTTGGAACCTGTTTCCTGTCGTCGTGGAGTCCCCGCCTCTGAGACTGGGGAGGTTCTGAGTTGCACATAGTAGGTGCTCAGTAAACAGAGCTTCCTGGGTCTTCAAATCACAAGGCCCGCCTCCCTGCCTGGCCAGAGACCACGCTCAGCATCAGGGATGTGCCGGTGAACAAGGCAGACCCAAATCCCTGCCCTGGATAGTCACTAGGGAACATGGGGGACACAGGCGTAGGAGTGAAGGGACAGGGACCCCCACCGTGCCTGCAGGAGGCTCTGCCCACCCTGGAAAGAGTGACTCAGAGCACAGGATGGTGGAGAGGGGAGAATGTTCTCTGCTCAGAAACGGGAATGAGTGGAGGCAAAGCCTCCAGGCCAGGCAGACCTCATGGAACATTCCAGAAACTAAAAAAGAGTCGACACTGGACAAAGAAAGCCCCAGGGACCAGAAAAGGTCAGGCCTCTTAGAATCTGGAAGGTGGACACAAGGAATTTAGTTTCTCCCCTTCCAAGAACAGGAACCCAGGGAAAAAGTTTCACTCCACGGGGGACAGAAGCCCATTTGCATCTCAATAAAAAATGACCGTGGCTCCTGGTGACAAAGAGACAGGAGGAGGGGGGAGCAGCGACAGCCCAGAGCTTTTATCCTGCAGCTTGAGAGGAAGATGCTCTGGCTCCGGCTGGGGGGCAGGGCAGCCAGAAGGGGTTTGGCTTTGAACCTGTCTCCACAGCTGGGGCGGAGGCAGGCCTCCAAGAGAGGCTGACTGGGGCCAGCCTCCTGCAGCGCCACATGTTTGGACAGTGGTTTCCTGTTTGCATTGCTGATGGGCTCAAGAGCCCAGGGCTCCTTGGCTTGAGGCCCAGGTCCAGCCTTGGAAGCCTCTCCAAGAGGAGAAATAAAGGATTTCTTCTTTGTTTTGCTGTTAAGGTCCCAATTAGTCCTTGGTCAAAGGGACGGCAAACAGGAAAGTGGCCCTTTACAGTAGAATAGATGGATTCCTAGACAAGGTAGCAACGTTAACCCACTTTACAGATTGGTGGAAGTGAGGCTGTGAGACGCTAAATAACATACCCCCAAGGCCAGAAAATGGAAAAGTAAGGTCTGCCTGCTCCCCACGACCTGTGAACTTTCTTTCTTTCCACGTGACTTCCCCACCCCCCCATGGATTCATGGTGACAAAGTGGCTGCAGAGCCTCCAGCCTTTGCATCTGCTGTTCAGACACAAGAAAGAGGACAGGCAACATTGGGAATGGGGAAATATTTCCTCTCAAGGGGGACGTGCCTTTGTTCCCCAATAGAACTTACACCTATATCTCACTGGCCAGAAATTATCATGTGTGTCCTCCCACCTGCAAGACAGTCATGTTCTCCCCAAATGAAATCAGAATTCCATTTGTAAAGAAGAAGAGGAGGAGCTGGGCGCGGTAGCATACGCCTGTCATCCCAGCAGCTCGGGAGGCTGAGGCAGGAGGATAGAAAGTTGGAGGCCAGCCTCAGTCACTTAGTGAGGTGCTAAGCAACTCAGCGAGACCCTGCCTCTAAACAAAATATTAAAAAAGGGGCTGGGGACGGGGCTCAGGGGTTATGCGTCCCTGGGTTCAATCCCTGGCACCAAAATAATAATAATTAAGAGGAAGAATCATCAGTCTCTGAAGGAGCAAATAACTCTTCGAGGATAGGACTGTGAGCCTGATTGGGGAGCGGCCCACCCCTCCTCTGCAGCAATTAC